TAAAACAGGGGGGTCAGCAGTTCTCGACTGAAGACCTCAAGCCATGCTTCTCTGAGTATTTATTTAGAATCCTAAGATAAAAAAAGTAAAATCACAAGGAAGTACAAAACAAAGGATAATGGTGAAGTCTTTTACAGATAAGGCCAAATTCCTCTTTATGCTAATCTCAAGAGGGAGGGGTTAATTTGACAAAAACTAAGAACAATGTTAACTCCTAGGGAACACCCCATTGCCACAAGGTGGCCTTCAGTTTGTATCAAGCTTCCCTCATTTCCCCAAACAGCATTTGGTCTACTATTATTAAATTTAATAGTTGGCTTCCCTCACTCTGGGATTACAGAGGGGGAGTATGGAGATTATATGGGGAAATTATCAGGGAACTTGCTCTGGAGAAGGTGGTTTTTAAACTGAATCATAAAAGGTAAGAGTCACATAAGGAAAGTCAGGAAAAGCACTCAGGCAAAAGGAGCTTCATAGAAGAGGGAGAGTGATGAAAGTATGTGCCTGCTGTGAGAAGTAGGGTGAGAGCATCAAAGTCCAAGAGGAGTGGTAGGTGAGGTGGAGAATGGGTCTTGGAAGGTCTTTGACTTTATTCTTTAAGAAATCAATGTTGTCTTCATGAAAACTCTAGACTGAAACTCTGTTAGAAATGGGGGAAAAGTTATTGAAGTAATAAAAATGAGGAAACATTTCTAGACATCCAAATATGATCATCTAAGGTGATCATGGCTGATCCTTCAGCAGATTTTCAGAGACTGTCAACCATACAGGAGGAGAGTGCCCGTCTTTCTCCAACAGAACCATCTGCCTGTAGGATAGTAGCACAACTCTTTATGCACTAGGTCACCTTGCTTGCTGCAAGTGGAGAGGACTTGAAGCACTTGCTACAAAAGATCAAGGACTATAGCATTCAGTGTGGATGACATCTCAACAGGAAGAAAAAAAATCCTCACTATTGGACCAATAGTCAACATCATGATAGATCGAGAAAAGACAGGAATTGTCAATTGTTTCATCTTACTTAGATCCACAATCAACCCCCTTCTACCAGCAGTCAGGAAATCAAGACATGTTGCACTGTGAAAATCTGCAGTCAGGGACTTCTCCAAAGTGCTGGCAATCAAGGATGTCAGTTTAAAGACTAAGATGTTCCTGATCCAAGCCATGGTCTTTTCAATCACTTGCTCTACATCTAAGAATTGGACAGTAAATAAAGAGGATACAAGAATTGATGCCTTTCAGTCGTAGTGCTAGAGAAGAGCACCAGCTATCCCATTGGACAGCCAAGAGAATGAATTAATGTATCTTGGAGGGAGTGTAGCTAGAAGGCTTCTTAGAGGCAAGAATGGTGAAACTTCATCCCATATGCTTTGGATATGTTAGGCGGGCCAGTCATTGGAGAAAGATCTCATCCTCGGAAAAGTAATGGATCAGCGAAAAAGGGAAAACCCTTAAGGAGATGAATTGGTACAGTAACTGTAACAGTGGGCTTTACTGTGGCAGAGATGATGAGAATGGCAAGGGATACGGCAAGGTTCAGATGTGATGTTTATAGGGCTGCTATGAGTTGTACAAGCTTAAGCTTTGCTGAGCGAGTTCGGCCCTTTTGATTTTCTGACTCCACCTCCTTGCACATTTCGTTGTAATATTTTGCTTTGTCATCCCATGCTGCCTTTTGAAATCTTCTATTCAACTCTTTAGTATTTTGAATTCTTCCTTGTGCTTTGGCTTCTCTGCACTCCAGTGCAATTTTCAGAGTATCTTCTGACATCCATTTTGGCCTTTTCTTCCTCTTCTGTCTTTGCAATGACCGTTTGCACTCTTCCTGGATGATACC